CTGAAAAAGCATTTTCAGTGACAATGTTTGGATTTGAAATCAAAATAATGGATAAATGTTGTGTTTGTGGTAAACAGCCACGGATCAGTAGCGGACTCCTGTGTGAAAGCTGCTTCACCTTTCACCAAGAGTCACCAAGAGGGGAATTCCCCCCCCATTTTCAAAAATGAAATTCAGGCCCTGAATAAATGTCTAAAAATCCTGATTGGAGTATCACTATAAATGGTTATAAATGATTAAAAGAAAGCTTTAAAAAGATCGGTATCGGTGATCAGATCGGCAGATACTGCTTTCTGTGATCGGCCTCAAAAACCCTGATCGGAGCACCCCTACTTTTGATTATGTTATCAAATAGTCAGAGCTGCCTAGACAAAAATGGCATTGCTAATTATTAGGATGAATAGCCTTTATTAGAGATCAGGGAATGCTTTTGTGTTCATAACTGCATTTTAATTACTTGCATGCAGAGTATCTAGTTGAGTCTGAACAAAGATTTACTTTCCATAGCTGACTCAATTGCATACACAAGTAGTTGATTTTCCTACCTGAATGATAGATGGTGTCCTGTGATCGGCCTCAAAAACCCTGATCGGAGCACCCCTACTTATAATAGCTGGATCTGGCGACACGGAGGCTGCGCCCGCACCTTCTCACTCACAACTCTCTGAAGACTCGTTCACTCCGCCAGCGTCTCGCAGCGATAATTTTTATACCACGGACGCTAAACATTCTGAATTAAACTGAATTATACATGCAGACATTCATACGAGAAGTTTAACAGCAAATTAGCCATTCAGAGAACACATTTTATTTTTGAACATGAAAAATTTACCGAGGTCCGGACCTCGGTGACCTCATAGCTGGCTACGGGCCTGTGTATATATGTGTGTGTGTGTGTGTATATGTATGTATATATATATATTGAAATGGAATCAATTAGTGTCAATACCCATTATTTCAATTACCATTAAAACATTATATACAAAAAATTTTAGTTAGTTAATTTCAACATTTAATATTACAGTAATGCACCAAATTATATTTATTTATTATTATATAATTAATGTGAATTTAAATTGAATCTACTTAAATTTTTGTCAATACCCAGCCCCACTGATTATGTTAACCGATCTACTTCCTAACTAATCTTAACCTAGTCTGTTTTGCAGTGATCTCTCTTCTGAACGGGCGCCTGTGACATAAGGCAAAGGGCAATAGTCACAAACATAAGTCAAATAACCTGACTTGCCTTGGTAGCTTCCACCAGCAATACCCTCCACGAATCACTTGCTCCCTGACCAGCAGTTACAAGAAAAAAGACAAAACGTTTTAGACCAGAGAATCTTTAATTCACACCCTCAACATACGCTCATCCACTTCTCTACGAGTCACTTGCCCTCCTCAGTACCTGTCTGACGTCAGGGCTATTCCTTCCAAGAATTCATGACGGCTGGTCTCACTGAGTCGCTCCTGAAGGATCTGGATCCCTTCCTTGACGTCGCGGAGCTGCTGGCTGTAGCGCTGGATCTTGTGCTCGATATCAGAAAGCGTGCGCGCCGTATCTGCCTCCAGCTCCTCAAGCATGCTCTTCTGCCGTTCCCGCAGGAAGCGGTGCAGTCGCTCGAATGCATCTCCGATTGTGGCACGAAGGCTCTTCGCTGATGACTATGAGTTAGAGAAGAGAAAGTTAAGATTTTTATTAGGCTAGGCTCAGTTAAAAGACTAAGAGATTCACAGAGTCTCAAATAACAAATTGACCAAAACTGACATTAAAAGACATTTATAAAGTTACACAAGATTTAAACTTCAAATAAATGCTTTTAAACGTTATATTCAAAGGATCCTGAAAAAAATGTATCAGTTTACACAAAAATATAAAGCAGCACAACCTTTTTCAACACTGATAATAATCAGAAATGTTTCTTGTGCAACAAATCAGCATATTAGAATAATTTTTGAAGGATCATGTGACACTAAAGACTGGAGTAATGATGCTGAAAATTCAGCTTTGCATCACAGCAATAAATTACATTTTTAAGTATATTAAAATAGAAAACTGTTTTCAAAGAGTTAAAAAAAAGAAAAAAGTTATGAACGGTGTTTGTTATTTGACAATTGACAATTGTCAAAAATAATGTGCAGTCTGAGAAGTTTGAGACTAGTGGTTCAATCAATGACAACCTACACAGGGAGAACAGGGTTAAAAGAAAAACACTGTCCTAACCAGGTATGAATGTTGCGGTTTCCAGCATTGAGTAATTTGTGTGTCCTAAATAAAATACAGCTTGAAGTGACAAAGCCACAGACAAACAGAACATATTTGATGTTTAAAACACAACTGGAGTGTGAACTAAAATTACAGCATATGGAGCTACCCATGATGAGGAAAATTAGAATTTAGCGACCGGAACAATGTCTTACTGTGGATTCAAATTGCTGAAAGACAAAAACGCTAATTAAGAGACTCATCTGGTTAGGACATAGCAAAAAAAGCAAGTAGTTTCAAAACCACAATGTATTTAACATTTAAAATTACTATTATTATTAAATTACTTCTGCAGAGTCTCGGGACGAAGTGGGTTGTCAAACTTAAAAAACACAATACTTATATTTAATGTCTCTATATTCATATTAAACTCTTATTTATTTTTATATTTTATATGTATAATTACTATTATTAAATTATAATTTTGGCAGAGTCTCAGTGGAACGTAGTGGACTAACAAGCAAGTGGAAAGTGCCTCATAAGCCCGCATCACTGGAGTCGAGGACACAGTCTAATAGTCAGTGGAAATGGCATTAGGTTGCTCCTCCCTCAATCTTCCGGGTTACTGTAGGACAGCCTCCATGAGAAGGACATGATTACACATGCAGACGAGCAGATGAGCATCGAGATAAAAGCAGCGGGGGTCGATGCCGAACCTAAAAGAGAATTGTGAAACTAGCCAACAAACTCGGCATTGACCGAAAAGGAGGAAAACAAGTCATAGAGAGATAAAACGAGGTGTTTCTGAGGAAGCCGATCATCTCTATTAAAGTGTAAAGAACATCAGTTACAGTCGTCAGATCAAAGATCTCAAACCCTCAAGGTCGAATCGATGTAGGACAGAAGCCGTTCCACTGATGGCCTTCCATACAATCACGGCAAGATCTAGATTTTCATCTCTTTCTTCGCCTATAGTAAGATCTGGAAGAAAACCACAGACTTCACAGATTACAAGATTACTCCTACTAACAAATAAAATAAAGGTCTTGTTCCACTTCTGTCTTTCCAGTGGGAAATGTGATTTCCTAGCCACCAGGAAAATGAAATCCTATTAAGATCCCGACCGTCTCTGGCGTAATTTGCATAGGCTGAGTCAGCCCACCTGATGTCGTCTGATGGATGATTGGGACTTAGTGATGCTGAAGTGGTGTTGGTCTCCTGAAACCACTCTCCCCGTGGGCCATGCTGTCTCGGATGGGGTCTATTTAAAGCCAGTAAACAAGTCCCATGAGCCCAGCGCAACTCGGCCTCCAAGCAACCTGCTCGCTGCCGCATCTGCTAATCAGACACATCTTTCCTTGGGGTCTTCCATTCAGATTCGAAATCGGCACTTCAGACGAGAGGGTCTGTCAGCACGCTTGCCACTGAGCTAAATCTAGAGCATGCTAGCGGGGAGGTGGCAACAAGTTAAAAATGAGCAAACATGAACTAGAGCTATTATTGACATGAGCTACATGCTAAAGTTTAATGTACACTAATGTACGAAAGTTTGGAGCTAGTAAGTTTTTTATTTTTTTGAAAGAAATTAATAGCAAGAATGCATTAAATTGATCAAAAGTGACAGTAAAGACATTTATAAGTTTACAAAAAATTTATTTCCAATAAATGCTGTTCTTTTTAACTTCATAAAAGAATCCTGAAAAACAAAATGTGTCTTGGTTTCCACAAAAATATTAAGCACTGTTTTTAACATTGATAATAAAAATGTTTCTTGAGCAGCAAGTCAGCATATTAGAATGATTTCTGAAGGATCATGTGACACTGACAACTGGAGAAATTATGCTGAAAATTCAGCTTTGCATCACAGAAATAAATTATATTTTAATATATATTTAAATAGAAAACATTTCCACCACAGAATAAAAAAATAAAAAAAAGGTAACTGCAACTTTTTATCTCTCAATTCAGATTTTTTTCCTCAAAATTGCGAGATATAAACTAGGGATGCACGATACTGGATTTTTGCCGATATCCGAAATGCCGATATTTTTCAACTCATTCAACCGATGCCAATACCGATATATTTCCTTTTGTTTAGAAACAACACCAAGTCTCTCCTGTGCAGAGATTGTAAACTAATTATTTTTCATTTTTGGTTCGTTTTTAACAAAAACGTACTTGTTAGAATTAAATAAACAATAATGAAGTTATTTTATAATGATAATATATTGAACGCTTTGAAAATAACTATAAATCAATCACTGCATTTTTTTGCAGACTGGTAACCTTAAAACTTTATTTGAAGATTTAACATTAGTAGATGGTCTAAAGCAAAAGAGTTGCAAAAATTCTGAAAATCTTTTAGAGCTTTTAAAGTTTTTATAATCCGTTTGAAAAAAACATAGTACACATTAATGAATAAATCTGTATACATAAAATTATTTAATTTACAAGTGTCATGTTTGTGATTTTTATTAATGTAAGCTATACCTTCTGACCTTTAAACCTGTCAGGCAAAAGTTTGCTTCAAGAATGACCACACTGCTGACGTGATCTTATCGCTAACACACCCTGAGCACGTGTGAGTTATTCGTCTTATTGGCAAGGCATATCAACATAATTTTTCATATCTGGCCAATGACGATGTTTACATTGTAAGCCTTTATCGGGCGATTTCGATAAAGTGCCGATAATATTGTGCGTTCATAATATAAACTCTGAATTCTAACTTTTTTCCCGCACTGTTCCAAGTTTGCTGTACATCTCGCAATTTGGATTTTTTTTCTCTGGAATTCTGAGAAAAACTGCAAGACAAAAGGCTGAATTGTGAGATAAAAAGTCACGATTACCTTTTTAAAAAAAATTATATCATGTGGTGGAAACAAACTTCCATAGAAAAGTTATTTTAAGAGTAAGAGACTTAAGAGACTTTATTTTAAAAGTAACTTTACATGATCTATAGTCTAACACATCACTGAATCAGCCAATTTATTATCATTTAGAAACGATGAGACCGCTTTATTATTGCATTCAGTTTACTCAATAAATCTCCTCAAAAGGTTGTGCTGTGACAGCTCTCTTGAGACAGTCCTCTTATCTCTACAGGAGAGTCTGGGCTGCAGGAGACATTTTGCATTGATGGTTCTGAATGTCAATGTCAAGCGTCAGGCTCTTCGTAAGCATCTTAAGGCACTGCATCAATAAATCCAGACAGGATACGACTGGATGGTCAATGCGAACATCTACATTTTCAGCGGACAGTCTGGGAAAGAACTGAAAGATACTAGAGTTTAATCAGCTTTCAAGGTAAATATGCAATCTGGGAGATCAATGAAATGAAAACACTGAGATACAAGTCTAGTTTAAATCAATTTAAGAGACTACAAGGAATTTGTTCTTTGAAAATTCATGACATTCAACGTGGTCTGCAATCCATTTTACTTCTGCAATATGAATGCTGTAAAACAGGATATTCAGTGGAAAACTTTTTTTTTTTTGTAAAAATAAACAGATTTTTGTGCATTAGAAATGAACTGGATTGTCAACAGTGGGTCTTATATGACTGGTCGGAGAGGACAGGTTGAAAAAAAAGAGAGCTTGGTGACATCTGTCCTTTCAAACATTATTATATTTTGATGAAAGATTATGAAGACAAACATTCTCTCTGGAATAACATGTACTGATGAATCACACAATATAACTAGGAACTTGTATTCAGAGAGTAAATAGGGTTCATTTTCATTTCTTACTGACAAGTGGAGAAAAAAAAAGAAACTAAAAGGTGATTAAAATGATGGAGACAGAAAAGTCGACCATAAAAAAAATTAAAAATAAATTATATATGCAATAAATATATATACACATATTATATTATATAATATACACATACATAAAAAATACTATATAAATATATTTATATTTTATAGTATTTTGAATGTTGACAATCAAATTAATTTCTAACGCACAAAAATCAGTTTATTTATACAAAAAAAGTTTTCCACTGAATATGCATACTTTAAAAATACTATAAAATATGCTTTCTATTTTTAAAGTGTATAACATAGCCTTTTCTCTTACAGATTCAAATGATTCAAATACAGATTAATTTTTTACCTAAAATTTCAATCATGAATGAATGAATGAATGGAGTCAACTAATGTGTCCACACACACACACACATACACACATTAGAGGGGTGGCAAGGCAGTGTTGTATAAAATGTGGGATGAAGACTAACTAATGACAAATAAGACCAACATCAGACATCCACAGAGTCAGGAAGTTCTTCCTCTGCAATAGTCCCCAATCCCAAACAGCGGGATAATTAAAAAAGGGGGTGAAAAAACAGGGAGATGGACAGTTGCATTATTGACTGCGGTGTCTCTCTTCACTGACTAAAACAAGGTGTCAAGATTAAAGACCTGCTCAATAAACCAATTTGCCAGATGGAAATTCAATGTCAACAGAATAGAGAGAGAGAGAGAAATATGCAAAGGAACAGAGTGAGAGACCTGCCATGAATCTCTAATGGCTGCGGTGGGCAGTATGAGCTGTTTGTCAGCTGTATTTCGATTTCCACAAAACCTGATTCCAGATGAGGTTTAATAGAGTCCCATCAGAGATGAAACTGAGACGTGGTTTCAATATCAAGTCATAGTAACTTGAATCAGGGTGTTGAATGTGTGGATGACCGGCCGATAAATCACAGTCGGTCCATCAATCTAGAATTGATCCTCAGGCATAAAGCATTCAGCAATAAAGACTACTGTAACTATTACATATCATGCGATTCTCATTAAAAAGGAGTGGCGCATTATTTAAAATGACAGCAGCAAACAGCATTCACTTCAATCGTTATATGGTCTGGGTCTAGGGATGTGCGCGACGACTAATTTGACTGTCATTTAAACGGAAGTTTTGTATCCGACTAGTCGACTAGTCTAAAAGCAAGAAACCCCCAAAAGATGGTAAGAAAAAAAAAACTTTGTGCGTGTATATAATAGCCTACATTTTAAATACTTAAATCTATGAATCACACTGCCAAATCCCTCATAGAATTCTGCTAAAAATAGGTCACAATTATGCCGTAGCCTACGCTTGCCTCACGTTATCATCATTTAATTTTAGCCGGTCGTTAAAAAGAAAAAAAAAGAAGAGCACACACTCAATGTCAACCAATGCTTATTTATTAAAATCAGCTGGGGAAATGCAGAACAATGGAAAATCAATCAATAGCCTGACAGAATTCTTCATCTTCATATAACGTTAGCCAACATATTAAAACACAAGTCAAAAACAATAGGAAATTTTATTAAGGAATAGCATTAAAATGGCTTTTAAAAACATACTTCATCATGTAGGCTATATCATCTAAAAACAAAATGAACAAAAAGAAAGACAGGACCTGAGGCGGTTAACAATTCCTGCACTTGAAAAAACGCGCTCTGCAGGAACTGAAGTCGCAGGCACGCAGAGATAACGAAAAGCAAGCCAACAGAATTTCGGAAAGCGCCTGGACATCCCGCACCACCACCGAAGTGGGTCTTCGTTAGAGGAATAGACGGCTCGGACGGGATCGCAGCGGCGGTGGGCTGTAGTGAATGACGTGATTGACAATAGCTGGCTTTGGCTAGTCTCTAAGTTAACGCCTACGTGCCTGTATTGAATATGATTCAATATCATATTCATCGCTCCAGTAGAGTTATTGTAAGACAATTTGACATTACACAGGTAATTTGATGGTAACATAAAATGATGGGTAATTTGAATGATAATTGTTTTTTTCGACTATTGTAATCGACTATTGTTTTCAGTGTCGACTAGTAGGAGCTGTACCGTTTAGTCGACTAGTCGACTAGACCTGCACATCCCTACTTGGGTCGCCCCCTTAAATGGAAGTCCAGGGGAAAATTGTGTTTTATGGAGCACCAGGTTAAATTGAGGATTTTTCTCTTGGAATAACATGCACTGACAGAAGTGTACCTTGGTTTCAGTGAGCTGTCTCTGCAGCAGCTGCAAAGCCTCCGTATGACCCTTCTCACTGTCTTGTAGAGTCACCAGCTGCTCCTTCATCTCCCTCTGTAAGAAAACCACAGCACAACAGATCATGTCATTTATTGCCCATTAATCTGGCAACCTCTGACCCAAAGTAATTAGTCTGAACCGCTTCTAAAGCCTTCATAAGAGAGATACCAAAACTCTGACAGCAGTAAATGTGATGCTATTGACGCTACACACAACCATTCAATGCACGATTGGCTAAAATAAAAATGCTATAGGAAAGCACACTTTTCAGGCACTTTTCTTATCTTTAGTATATAGGACATAAATGGTGTGTCAGACTGGAAATGAGCTCCATTAGGACCATAACAATGAGAACTATATCAATTTGCTTCAAGTTTGACTTAATGTCCTTGGTCAACTACTATGCAGCTTCCCGAGCGCTGATATCTGATAAAACCTTTCATGACTGAAATAGGCTATTTTACTATAATTAAGTCCTTTCATGCATGGTTTTGATCTAGACTGGAAGTTTCAAATTGTAAGAAAGGAACAGAGAAAGGTGGTTTTATAGTTGCAGGAAAAAAAGCAGAAATTAATAAATAAACTGCGATTCTCCAGAGAGGTCTGTCAGGGAAAGTGGGTCTCTCTTGCAGTGGACGTGCAGAATCGGGACGACAGGCCATGTTTGCTTGCCTAGAGGCAGAATAGGAACAGGCAAAATGCACCAACCCCTTTACAATACACCAGAGCCAGAGTTCATCTTTATAAAATCCATATATTAATACAATAAAGCTGCATGATTTGGGGAAAAAAATTATTGCAATTGCTTTTCTAATAAAAACAGATCTAAAATGCAACTTTAAAAAAAATCCAGGTTTGCTTGTTTGTTGGGTTGCACAATCTGACCAAAATTTTGTTTAATTCAATCACAGCCTTTGATAATCGCACTAAACCATATCATGATTTTGGTTATATTTCAATTAATCGTGCATATCTAATCTATAAATATATTAAAGGAACACTCCACCATTTTTAAAAATAGGCTCATTTTCCAACTCCCCTAGAGTTAAACAGTTGAGTTTTACCATTTTCGAATCCATTCAGCCGATCTCCGGGTCTGGCGGTAGCATTTTTAGCTGTATCTTAGCATAGATAATTTAATCTGATTAGACCGTTAGCATCTCGCTCAAAAATAATCAAGGAACTTTGCTGCCGTACCATGGGTGCAGCAGGCGCAATGATATTATGCAGCGCCTGAAAATAGGCTCCAGCTAGGTAACTTCCAATAAGCCTATTTTCAGGCGCTGCGAAATATCATTGCACCTGCTGCACTGATCGGCTGAATGGATTCGAAAACGGTAAAACTCAACTGTTTATTTTCAAAAATAGTGGAGTGTTCCTTTAAGGCATCATAAATTAACTCATTCGATTTTTCAAGATTTTTTTTGCCCATTTTAATTGTCAGACAAGTGAAACGGCACACCTCTCAACAATAAGCAGCATGATTTAGTGTTAATCATGACTGTAGCCATAGCAAATAGTGAGTGACTAGTTACACAACAAAGCTTAATTACTTTAAGGTACGGGATTTGAACAAACCTCTAATGCTGAAGTGTGAGCAATACTTGATGCTTGCCTTAGGAAACACAACTAACTGATGCTTTGGTTGTTTCAGATGGAAATGAGCACCAATGAGGCCAGGTCACATATTTTGTAAACAAGATTATCCTGAAAAACATATTCATCCAACATTCTAGCGTCATGCCGTTTAAATAGAGGTGATTCATTGAAAATGGACGACATGGCAATGAAATGCTGTTGTTGCCAGTGTTGTTAACTGAAACTAAAACTATTAAAAATAATTTTTGGTCATTTAAATAAAGCTGAAATAAAACAGAATATATTTGAAAAACTACGTTTTTTTTTAAGTTGAAGTACTAAAATGACTAAAACTGAAGTAAAATAAGGCTAAATATAAATATTGAATAAAAACAACATAAAAATGAGAAAAGTCGTTATACCACAGGTTTTTTTTCATACTATGGATGTCAATTAAATATTTGGTTAAGAACATTATTCAAAATAACTTCTGTATTCAACAGAAGACAAACTCATACAGGTTTGGAACAACTTAAATGGGTCATAGGATGCTACATGCACTTTTACAAGTTGTTTGAACTGAAATGGGTGTTGGTAGTGTGTGTACACAACCACCCTATAATGATAAAAATCCACCCAGTGTTTTTTTTTTAATCTCGTTAAATGTTTTCCCCTTTCTCAAATCGAGCCGATCTCAGATGCCTGTCTGTGCTAAAGAATCATATAAACTTGTGGAAAATGGGCATCCTATGACCCCTTTAAGGGTGAATAAATGAAAGAATTTTCATTTTTGGGTGAACTATCCCTTTAAAAGAGTTAACCACAGTATTTCCATCAGTATTATCTGACTGAAATGAGACTCAAATACAAGTGAACATTAAAACAATTCTCAACTGTATCCTTTTACAGGACGAGGAGCAGAAAAAATGATTACTTTCATTATAAAGCTCATTACTTCAGGGAAATGCTGTCTGTGCTCCACAAGTACCTAAATGCCCTTCCCAGCATCCAAATTGCCTGGTTTCAGTGTGCATACCTGACAGATAAGAGCTCACTCTAATGCGTCAAGTAAATGCAACATAACCAGCTGGTGTACTTCTGGAGCAAAACGCAAATGGTTATTGGGTCATTATAGACCATACATTTTTTATGTGCCATTTACCTCCACCTTTTAAAAGTGTATCCAGAGAACTAACAACTTCTTAAAACAAAAGCCTGTCTGTGAAGTTGTGGCACAGAGCCTGCAAATGAATCATTTTTCCAGCGAATCGAGTTGTTCAAAATGTCTAAACAAAGTGCAGAGTGTGCTGATTTTAGCTGCATGGAGAGCACAGAGCACTGGAGGTCAGAGGCAGCACACGTTTATATCAATCTGAGCTGGCGAGAGGAAGTTTGACATGACATTTCCCCAGGATCCCACACGACAGGGGGAAGAAGGTCATTGAAGGCTGATAGCAAGACTAAAACTTATTTCACTCTGGCTTTACTCATCTTTGAATCAGCATTTGAGCAACATAATCGAAAGAAAATGGATGCAGGATTTGAAGAGTTAATATCCACTTTTGCACTGACTAAGGTTTCCAAGATATGTTTATAATTTTTTATAAGAAAATATAGCATAAATAAAAAATATACTAAACTATACTAATACTGTTTTATAATTAGCATTGCAAAGGGGCAGAAACTTTTACGAAAATTTCCGGTAAATTTCTGAAAACTTTCCAAAAAATTCCAAAAATTTCACGAAAGTTTCCAAAAACGCTGGAAAGTTTCCGGATATTATAATATAATATTCAGATGAAGAAACAACCCTGATTATAATATATAAATAAATGAATGCATAGATAAAGAAATAATTACATACATATAATGTATATATATACATATAATGTATATATATACACATATATATATATATATATACACACATATATATATATATATATA